AGATGAAGACTGAAGGAACCAGAGATGGACTCACTGTAGTTTAGTTCCTGCTGTGGAGCCTGAAGTGAATCTGTGGATCTGAGCTGGTAGTTTGTAATCAGAGACAGTACCCTGCTGTAGGAGTAATCTGATTACTGTGAGGTGATACAGTTTAGAATAATTTAATGTTTAAGCGATATTATATATTGATCTCTCAGATGTTGGAGTGCCAGTGAACGCATCATGTTCTTGCTGACTGAATTAACACAGAATGAAAAACTTTGACGGCAGAAACAGCTACTGTGTGTGTGTGTGTGTGTGTGTGTGTGTGTGTTCCATTGTTCTGTGCAGCCTTCAGTCTTATATAAGTGATGTTGTTGCGAAACAGCAGCAGATCAAACAGGAAACAAACAGCTGAGGTGTTTTCAGGATTCGTCTCTGCAGCTTCACACCAGGTTCCATTTTAAAAAGCTCCGTTTTTCAGTTTCATTGTTCTGTCAGAACACAGCAGCTGATCACCATAAACTCTGGTCTTCTTCTTCTGACACTAAAATCTGAATTCAGATTCAACTTCAACACAGCTGAAGGATGACAACAGTGAATCCTAGAGGGATCTGCTTTGTTCTGATTACTGTCAGTATTGATAAACTGACTGGTTGAAATGTTCTAAAGCAGAAACTCTGAAGACTCTGAGCTGAGAAACAACAATATCTAATCAAACATATGGATTTCATGATTTTAACTCATCAATAAATCGATAAATGTGGTAAAAATGTGAAATAATAACACTGAGATTCACTGATTTTAACTTGAGGACATTTACAGCTGCAGCGTTTTATTATGGACACGATTGTTTCAACTATTAATTAATCAGCTGCTATTAATTAATAATTAACTTGATGAACAAACCTCGGCTCTTCTTCACCGGATCAGGTTAAAAACGTGGATCGATAATCAGAGTATTGATTGGTTGTGGCCGGCTCGGTGCTGCTCCTCCTCCGGTACCGGGGTCCGTTTCTCTCCGTCGGCTCTTCACGTTCAGTCGGTGGGCTCGCGCAGCTTCATGTTTCCAGAAGAAGAAACGTTTCCACGGCAACACGCAGAGCTCCGTTACCGGAGACTCACCGGAGACTCAGTGCGGCTCCAGTCCCGCTGCTGCCGCCGCGTTTCCGCGTCACTCCCGGTAATGTTCCAGCTTGTTGGCGGGCACGCGTACACACGCACACGCTCTGTGGGAGGTGGTGCAGAGGGCACGAGGGCAGATCACGCTGAGCGTGTGCGCGTCTGTCCCCGTGGACCCGCACAGGGAAAATTCAATTACCGTGATGAAGCACGAGGCGCGTGCGTGTAGTTTGCACACGTGCGCGTGCACTGACCACTCCTCCTGCGGCCCCGCCCCCCGCCTCTCTGGGCTCTGAAGATGATTGGATGAAAATTTACATCTAAAGTGAAACACAAAACTTTAATGAAGCTAGATTCTATTTCGGGCAGTTTGAGGTGTGTTTGGGGCAGTTAGCAGTCTGTTGGGGCAGTTTGAGGTGTG